TTTTTTTTTATTTTTTTGACTTATTTTGAATTTTGAAGGAGGGAAGATACTAATGGCGCACCATGGGCAGGTGCGCCATTAGTAACTTTTTTTTTATTTTTTTTGACTTATTTTGAATTTTGAAGGCGGGAAGATAGTAATGGCGCACCATGGGTAGGTGCGCCATTAGTAAGTTTGAATTTTTTTTGAATATTTTTGCCTCTCCATATCTTAAAAGCCCCGTATCTTTTTTTCTGTTAGGTTTTTGAGGATTTTGAAAATGTTTAACGGGGTTTCCTCCGTTAAATTTGGATGTAACTTTTCGAGTAGATGATTTTTCATATAGAAAACTTTTTCATCCGAATTGGTATGCAAAAGGTACGCCCATTTTTACAAATTCTCGCGAGATTTTGCAAATGAAGTCGAAATTCATATTTGCAAATTTTCCCAACAACTAGACCAGATATCACATGGGAAACTTATTTTCTTTTATTTTTTTGACATTTTCATCATTTTCTTTTATTTTTTTTAAAAACTGAAAAGGCGATCCACGGGGGAGGGGGGGTGCATTCGGTGGAATGGTGCGCCAAGTTACTAATGGCGCACCGTGGCATGGTGCGCCATTACTAGTTAAACTAGTAATGGCGCACCACTCCTACGGTGCGTCATTAGTAGTTTTGATTTTTTTTAAAAAAAATATTTTTACTAATGGCGCACCGTGGATGTGGTGCGCCATTAGTATTTGGAAACTAATGGCGTACCAACACATGGTGCGCCATTAATATATAGTAATGGCGCACTACATGTCAGGTGCGCCATTAGTGTCAATTCCATCTATAACCCTTTTCCTAGTAGTGAAGTTGCAACTATACGCAACATGTTCAATGCACAACTATATGTGTTGCGGCCCTTTTTTAGGATCAACACGTGACGCGACCTTAGGAGGCACTAGTTAGACATTTAGCAGTGGCGTTTTTCATTTATGTTCCTTTTTTGTTTTGTTTTTCTCCCACTGCACGAGATTAATATTCCAAGAAAATCTTCGGGGGAGGGGTGTCCTTTTTTTTCTCCAGTTGCATGTCCACCCTCGACATGAAATCCCCCCTAAAGGTGGCAGTTGCATCTCCACCCTCGACATGCAATTGGCCCAGCTGCGTGTGTTGTGTGTGTCTGTGTGCGCGCGTCGCTAGGGGAGGTCCCAATGTCAGTGTTTTTCATTTCTTTTATTTTTATCTCCCACATCACAAGAACAATATCCCAAGACTCCACCCCCCGTGCACCGGGGAATTTTCCTTGTTCCCCGGTTGCATGTCCACCATTGACACGCAACTGCCATCGGATGTGGCCTGTTGCATGTATACCCTTGACACCCAACTGCCCCTGACCAGTTGCATGCTTATCGACATGCAACAACCCCCAGGTGTGTGTGATTTTCTTATCCCACCGCATGTGGATCTATGTTGTTTTGTGGGAGGAGGGGAAGTGGGGGGTAGTTGCATGTCTGCAATTAGGCATGCAACTGCAAGTGTCGGTACCGGCTGCAACGACATGTCTTCAACATGACTGCAACTCAGTGGTGTTTTGTTGGGGGAAGGGCCAGTGATGTTTTTGCCCCCGACTGTAAGTATCTACCCACTGTAACTGACCTTTTTGTTTTGTCGGTGGGCAGTGGGAGAGGAGGCGGTTGCATGTATGACACTAGGCACGCAATTGCAAGTGTCGCCCCCGCCTGCAATTGCATGTGCACACCTCCGACTACAACTAGCCTTTGTTTTGTCGGAGGGTGGCGAGAGAAGGGGAGGGTAGTTGCATGTCTAACACTAGGCACACAATTGCAAGCGTCGCCCTCAACTGCAATTGCATGTGCCACCACCCGACTACAAGTGACATTTGTTTTGTTGAAGGGCGGCGGAGGGAGAGGGGGAGTTGCATGTTTGACACTAGGCATGCAACTTAAAGTGTGCCCCCGACCGCAATTGCATGTGCACTCACGCGACCGCAACTACATGTGCACT